TGCCAAGTGGAGAGGACATATCACTGAAGGGTGAGAGTGATCCTTCATATCCAGAGTCACTACAGGCATCCAGCAGAGAGCTTGGGGCTGCAAGGCTATGATGAGAGGAGAGCAGGTGAGAGATGCCCAGCTCAGGCATGAAGCTGTCTACAGGTTCCTCTTTCACAGATACTGAGACCTCAGGGGTAGCTTTGTCTTCAGATGCAGAGGGAGATACCTCCTCAATTTTCACTAGCATATTGGTTTGGTTGCCCATTTTAACAGGAATCTCCAGTATTAGGGGCTTTGTGTACACATGGTCAAACCTTATCAGTTCATTAATGGCCTCCAGCTTGGCTGATGGGGACCCCAAAGATGGAGAGGGGGAGGTTGGTATGGAATTTGTTTCTCCACAGATCTCTTCTTCCAGCTTTTCCAGGCATGTTGACTCTGAATCAGCATATTTGAGAAACATCTCTGGGTCCAGACTGTCCAGAAAGCCCAATAGGAGATCAGACTGCAGAGAAAAATACTGTTTTAGAAAGACAGCCTACTACTGTTACATCAAAACATCAGTTGCAGCATTTATTAACCTTCATGTGGAAGTTAAAACATGTTAATGTGAACACAAGTTTTACCCAGACCACCACTAACAGAACAGACAGTTAAGGCAATTACCTTTTCTTAGGAGCATTTTGTCCATTAACTTTTTGTAAGGGAACTGGCAACCCTCATAGAGCCCTACATGCATTTGCTATTCACAACCTCTATTAGAAACTCCTTGAGATCTTGGACCCATCAGGTACAAACACCACACTACCCGCTGACTCCAGAGATCATGTATCAGAACTTGGCTTAGACAGACCTGCACATACCCAAGGTTTGAGGTTTGGTTTAAACCAAAACCACCCTAGAAGGTGAAAGATGCCTGTCCTTGCATTTGTGGAATTCATTCATAAGAAACAAGCTTTTGGCATGAATAGCTTTGCTAGGTTCCAGCACATCAGAAAATTACCAAGTTTATTTCAAACAACAGCAAAAGCACAGTATGCTTTTGGTATTTACACACTTTTAATGTAAGAGCAAAGATACTGTTTCAGGCAACATCCTCTAAGATTTTATGGAAACTTCCATGAACTCCTGTACTCAGAGTCCAACACAGCTGTTTTGAGCCGCACATATGACATACCAAGATTTGGAAAACAAGCCAACTATGGAAAGCCTGACTTGACATCAGGAAATTCTGACATGAGTCTTAAATCCAGTGGTTCTGAATTTCATGGCCATTTTGTAGAGGAGTGGATGCTTACCTCCGAGTCTGAAGAGTCACTGCCATCAGAATCCATATGGAAGCTATCAGAAATGGTGACTGCTGGGCCTGCACCTGCTGCAGAGGAACACGTAGTCTGAGTGCTGCGGACTCAGCGGACCCGGTCACCAATCTAATCTCATCCACCTGCGATTCCTTCACAACCTGTGTCAAGGGAAAAATCCAGGCAGTCACCACAAGTGTTTTGACAGTATAGTACATTATCCTGAAGACCATGCTTTTCCTACTAAGGCTTCCAACATTGTATTCTGCAGTTTGTACAGCAGGAACCTGAAGGTAAGACCACTTCCAAAGCTGCCTCAAACTTCCATCTAGTTAGAGAACGATTCTGTTCACTACTTTTAAAACGAGAGCCTGACCCCCTCCACTATACCCTCTGTTCTTCTGAGGCAAGCATACATTACTAACAGTTACCACTTCATTTCTAGAACATAATGTAGAAGACCAGACAAAATAATCTTAAAATAGCTTGAAAGCAGTCAGCTTGCCATCTCCCACACTACCAATGGTCCCTGCTTTGAAGTGGGTATCTAGCCAGTCTGTGGGAAAGCCTCCATTTGGAGGACATGGGTGTTTCTGGCACACCAAGTACCGCACCTCACAGCACAGCTGTTACTGCCCAAGAGCTGCCCAGGCAGGGGCCATTCCCCGCCCGGAGCCCGGCAGCTCCTGGAGCCAACCCACTGGCACAGCAGCCTCACCTGGGACTCGCTCTCCTCCTCCACCTTCAGAGCATCCAGACCCAGGCGGCAGCGCAGCTCCTGGTTCTCCAGGGCAAGGGTACACGTCTTCTCCCGCAGGAGTTGGTTTTCCAGCAGCAGCTTCTGGTTCTGCAGAGAGCCGTGTGCAGGGAGATGGCAGCGCCGGCCGCAGAGTCAGCCCCTTACCACCTCCTCCCCCTCCAGCCCCTTACCACCTCCTCCCCCTCCAGCCCCTTACCACCTCCTCCCCCTCCAGCCCCTTACCTCCTCCTCCAGCTCCAGCACCTGCTGCTCCAGCTCCGTCCTCCCATTTGACAACATTGTTGAAAACTATGGAAAAGAAGAGCCCCCTTTTATAGTATAGAAGCAAAACACAGTGAGATTAAATGAAGCACTGAAGATCACACAAGAAATCTGCACTGGAATAAAAGCTTTCATGTCTCATGTTCTTGCTCTGCACTTAAGGAAAAGTTAGTGTTCCCTTAGGCACAGGTACTCTGCGGCATTGCGATATACATTGGGAAAATAGGATTGCAGCAAACACTGAATGTTGCACAGAGAATAGGTTGATTTTTTGTGTTGGTTTTGTTTTATGTTTGTCCCAGTGCTCTTTCAGAAAGTAAAAATAAGTTATTCAGGCCCTGATTTTTCATAATCTCAAAGGTACTTGGTGTGCGGACAAGCCATCGATTTTTGTTCTCAGGCTGTTACAGTCACATACATGCAGTAAAAGTAATTTCCTCGGGACTAATACCATTTGTTCTCCAGGGTTTTTCCTTATGAAAACTGAATTTTGAAAAAGCCTTATTTAGCATTGGCTATTAAGGTTAGAAGAGATTGAGATCCATTTGTAAGATGAACAAGACATAGAATTTTGCTTTTGCAAACTTCCCTGACAAAGTTCCTTCCTTATACAAGGAAGGTTTTTCTATGTGATAAATTTCCAACTGAAACTAAAAAAATCTGTTAAATTACTTTCCCTTCCTAGTTGATGTACCTATTGCACTGAAACCTTTCTTTAATTTTACCTTTCACTGTAAAGTTATTAAAACTCAGGTTTTAGCAGAACATGACTTTTCCCCTCTTAGACCTGAACAAAACATTTCATTGTCATAATTATTCTAAATATGAAGCAAAAATGCTTTTCAATGTAAATAAGTTTCCATACTAGAGCTTGATAAAGGATTATATAGGAAGATGAATAAGCCTTTAGTTTAAGAAAACTGGACTGAAACTTTATTTCAGTCATTAAAAATATATATATGTTTGGATTATGGGCATTTGTACATCTAAACTAAAGCAGAATATTTTGGGGGTAATTTATGCCAAAAGACAACTTGATCCCAAACAAACCATACCACATAGGTTGTATTCCTGAGGAAGAGCTGGTGGGAACAGACTATCATTCTGAGGTATAATAAAAAAAGTTGAAACAAACCTGATCAAAAAGAAACCCCTTCCCACCTCCCCCACATCCCTCGCCCCCTGCTGAAGTCTATAATGTTTTAATACATTAGAAAGGGAAGTCTTGGACAGGACATCTGACCTGGATGGATATTGATCTTCTAATTGTCAACGTCTCATGGTCAGTGGTTAGAGGTTCTCATCATTAAGGCACCACGGTCATTACAGTGTGCAACATCACTGTGATGTGACTACAACTCACAAAAATCAGATGCCTGCCAAACACTAAGTGATGGACCTTCCTTTGCAGCTGGGCAGATCCAGCACATCCATATTGCTGTTGTCAGTTGAAGTGAACTTCTGAACAGTAAGGCCTGGGGCATAGTATAAGAGGGACTAAAGAACAGTTGGTGGGTAAGAACCAATGGAAGTGCTGCTTTGCAGATGTAGGATGGTGAGATGCCTTTATTTAGAGGTCACTAAAAGCAAGTTTTCCTCAAAAATTTCCTTTGTGTTCCTGTTGAAAAATGGATAGAAGAAGAACAGTACCTGGATTTTCCTTTTCTTCATATTGAACACATTTTTCTATGTTTGGAGATGATATTTAAGATCTCTTAAAGCTAGTTTAATCAGAAAGAAATGCATTATTATTGCCTGAAATGTGACTAAAAGTAAACCTCGAAACGCCTTTCAGGGGCAGTGCAGCAGTTCAGCAACGTGCCGGCAGCGACAGGCAGGTGCCCAGGCCCGGGTCTGTTGAAATCTCGAGCCCTGCTCGGTGCCCCCAGCTCCCCAGGCCTTGCCTGTGGTGGTTGGACACGACCTGAGTCGTTAGGGAATGTTGAAACTTTGCCTACTTGCATTTATTTCTTAAATCCATTCGTACGTTGAATTTAATTAGTTAAGATGTTAAACAGTACAGGAAAAACATGAGCTTTAGAAGTTCAAAGGCTCTGGTGTGCTGGTTTGGCATTACTCCAGCGCTGGAGTTCTGCCAGGCTTTCATGATACAAAGAACAAACTGGGTTTGTAAGTTTGTGTTTGTTCTGTCCTGACTCACTGCAGCATGACATTTGGTTAAGGCTGTGAGTTCACCTTTCTACTTTGACAACTTTGTGAAAAATACGGCGACTTTTTGATAAGCTTTTTAATCTGAGTGCAAAAAAGTTGTGCTGGTCCTTCTAAGCCCCTCAGGCATCCATTATGGAAAACTTACCTTCTTCTCCTTTGCATGTCTTTTCTGGGCTTGAACTCATGTTTCTTCTATAATTAAAATTCTCAATTTAAAACTTTAATACCTTTTTCTAATTTCAGGCATTCATTTCAATTGTTGCCCTTTTTTTAGCACAAACAAAAGTGTTGAATAGACTGCCCCTGCTTCTGCTGCTTTGTGACATTTACAGTTGTACTGGGACTAGCCATGATGTGATTTCTCAAATAGATAACCAGATTTCTTAGCATTATGGCTGAGGAAAAATCCCAACTCTCTGTATGTGATTTAGTTTTCCTGATTAATTTTAAACAGAACAAGAGCAAAAGCATCTTTTTCCTTTTGCAATAAACAGTTGTGATCATGACTAAACTTCAGATGTGCAGAAACATACAGACCTGTAGTAGCACCTGAGTCACTTCACAGTGATATGTGACCAGGCACAGACTTGGACACTGCCCTTGGCCCTGCTGGCGTGACAGTGGTATCCATTGCCATGTCTGGTGGTCGCAGGAATGGCTGGCAGAGGAAGGGCATGATGTCCTGCAAGCTAGGCCTGTTGGATAATTTCAGTAGCATTGCTAAGACTTGCTGTGAGGTAGTTACTGAAAATATACTTAGGGTCACAAATATGTTACTACCATTATGATACATGAAGTCTTTTATTAAATACATGGTTAAGTCACTGGGTAAAAGAGTGGCAAAGAAAAGTTCCATGAAGCTGGTCTTGCACTGAGACACCCTTTCAGAACACTTTCATTAAAGGACTTTAAAAGTTTAATTCTGATTCCCAATTTTATTTTATTTTTTAAACTCACTGTTTACACATCCCAGTTTTCATATTTTTCTTTTTTCAGTCATTGGATCTGAGCCTGTGATCCACATGACAGTGCTCTAGTTACTCAAGAATGCTCCTCACCCTGCCTTTATCTCAGTACCACCATCTATCTAAAGGATATGTCAATGAGGATACTGTTGGCTGTCCTGCCAGAAACATTAGCTTCTGCTAACATAGCTTTGTGTTATATGTTCCAGGTGGCAAACCCACCAAAGGAAATAGTTTTGTTTAACAAAGGTGGAGAGGCTTTGCCTTTATATAATATCAGATACAGAGAAAGAATTGTGACTTGAATGTTATCTGTGCATGAAAAATTTGGGATAGAGGAGAGAAAGAAAATGGAAGATGAAGGTGTAGAGAAAAGGTAGTTTAACTAACAGGCATAGTTTGAGAAAGAGCTTGTTTGCCCAATGTGTGTTTGAAAACACTTGGAAAGTGGCCCAGGGCCCCAAGCTCGTGTCAACAGCTGGAATATTCCCAGATCTGTATCAAAAGCTGATTAAATGAGAAATGGAACTGTTCTGCAGCCTAAATTGAGGTTATTTCAAACCCATAATGTTTATAATGAGCTTTATATGAATTTTACTCCTTAAATTTCATCATTTCACTTTGGAATTCAGGAGAGCTTCTTGCAAAAGTCTGGTGCTCTCAGTCTTACGATGAAAAGTAACTGTTCTATCAGAGACTCCACTAACTTAGTTGCTGAGTTCATAATGAGCTGGAGCAGGGGGAGAGTTTTAGTTCCGCCAGGTTATTCAGTTGTCTGAGGTACTGGCAACACTTCCTTCTAGTCTTAACAGTTCAGGCTTTTTGGAAACATACATGGGGTTCATGCTGCTCCTCTTGCTCTGAGCAGAAGGGTTGTTCTTAATTGTTGTAGTAGGGAAAATTTACAGGCAATATGATGATAAAGGACATAGCATTTTCCAGCAGTCTGGCAAACCTAGTAGGGACAATGTCATAACTCTTCTTTGGAAAAACGGTGTTACTTCTTTAGTATGAGCAGAACGCAGAACCTGTATCCTTTGCCTACTGCATGGAGCTCCTAACCTCCATGTATGCTCTAGCAGGTGACCTTGACTTTGCCTTCTCTTAATGCTGCCACAAGCGAGTCCTGCAGAAAAGTTACATTTTACTCAGCTGTCATCCCTGCTCCATTATTGTTGAGAATCTGCCTTATTTCTGTGACTATTCCCAGCATACTCTAAGGAAGGTGTGGAAAAAACCCAGTGAGTCCAACTTTAACCGTGACTCTCCTGCAAGCATCTCACAAACATGTACCTTGCATTCCAGTTCCTTGTCCTTGTGTTCCACATACATTACTAGTACCTGTTACTACCCAGAATGACAAGGAACAAGGGGTAGCTCTGCCTCAGTTCCATCTCAGATCCGTGCAGTGGGCCACAGGCATAAGTTAACAGATTCTTACTTTGATCATCTTCATGTCTCAGTCCTCTGACCTAGCTGCTTTTGTAGTGAGGGAGAAATCCCATCACACTTGTACCTTGGGTGCCTCCTATTACATCTCTTCTCCCAGTCCCTTCAGAACTTCACGCTGGAGGGGTATCCTAGCCACTACAGGCAGCATCAGTTGACTTGGGCACATGCACCTTGTGACAGAGATCACATGCACTTGTAGAAGGCTTCTTTGTCTTCCCTACCCAACAGTCACCATCCCTGGATGTGTTTGAGTCACCTCGATGTGGCACTTGGGAATATAGTTTATTGCTGGACTTGATAGAGGAGGGTTAATAGTTGGACTGTATGATCTTAAAGGTCTTTTCCAACCTAAGTGATTCTGTGATTCTATGAATTAGCTCTCCCATCACCATAGTCGATTAAAGCTTTGTTTCTCATTCACAAGAGAAG